AAAACAGGAAAGAAGAAGGGAGGACAGGAGAAAAAGTAAAGACAGTTCTTGCAAAGCATGAAGGCCATCAGGCTACAGAGTGAATTCCAGGACAGCCAAAGCTGTTTCACAAAAAAACCCTGTCTCAAAAAAGCAACCAAGGCCAGGTGTTGGTAGTGCACGCCTTTAATCCCAGCACTCGGGAGGCAGAGGCAGGCGGATCTCTGTGAGTTCGAGGCCAGCCTGGTCTACAGAACCAGTTCCAGGACAGGTTCCAAAGCCACAGAGAAACCCTGTCTTGAAAAACCAAAAGAAAAAAGAAAAAAGTGTTTTGCCACCACCGGGCGTTAGTGGCGCAGCACTCAGGAGGCAGAGGCATCAAGTTTTGCCATCAAGTATTTATGTGCACCACATGTATGCCTGATGCCTGTGGAGGTCAGAAGAGGACATTGGATCCCCTGGAACTGCAGTTTCAGATGGTTTTGGACCACCATGTGGGTGCTGGCACCCGAAAACTCAGATCCTCTGTAGGATCAGGTGCTCTTAAGTGATGAGCCTTCTCTCCAGCCCACTTATGATTTTTTCTATGGTGTTTGTTTTAGAGGCAGTTTTACTAGTTAGCCTTGGTATAACTTGGAACTCACTTCAATGACCAAGTTGGCCTCACACTTGCAGCAATTCTCCTGCTTCTGCTTTATGAGTGCTAGAGATACAGATATGAGCCACCACGCTTGGTTTAAGGGAGAGATACAGATATGTGTCACCACACTTTGTTTAGGGGAGAGGATTTTTTTTTTGGTTTTTCGAGACAGGGTTTCTCTGTATTGTTTTGGAGGCTGTCGGTCCAGCCCGGCCTTGAATTCACAGGAGGATTTTATTTTTAATATTTTATTTAAAAAAAAAGCTTAGCCGGGCATTGGTGGTGCATGCCTTTAATCCCAGCACTCGGGAGGCAGAGGCAGGCCGATTTCTGTGAGTTCGAAACCAGCCTGGACTATAGAGTGAGTTCCAGGACAGCCTTCAAACAATACAGAGAAACCCTGTATTGAAAACAAAACAAAACAAAACAAAAAAGCTTGGCAGTGGCCTTTAATCCCAGCACTCACGAAGCAGAGGCAGGTGGATCTCTGTGAGTTCAAGACCATACTGAGTTCCAGGTCAGTCAGACTGTTACACAGAGAAACTCTGTCTCAAAAGAAACCAAACAACAAAGATGTTCAAGGTCATCCACAACTATGTAGTGAATTATGGGTCAGCCTGAAATATGTAAGACTTTGTAATAAATACTCCTTCCTGTGTGAGGCTAAGGCAGGAAGAACTCTGTGAATTTGAGAGCAATCTGATGTACATAGCAAGTTCCAGGACAGCCAGGGCTACATAGCACAACCTTGTCTAAACAAGCAAATACAATTAAATGAATCTCTCCTTTTGGTTTATCCTAGGAAGCAGATTTGGAGTTTCCCAGACAGTCTCTGAGTAAGTCACTGCCTTGAAGCCCAGTCATCCTGAAAAGGGAGAGCAGATAGTTCTTTTCCCCAAAGGGCCCACATTCACACTGCTGGTTCCTGGTGACTAAGCCAAGTTAAGATGAGTCACTGATAACACAGAAGAGGACCTTTTCCCTACTGTCTTTCCCAGGGCTGACCAGGTGATGGGTGGAAGCTTGGAAAGAGCTGAGATATCCATTAGGTCAAGGATAACTGATTTTCTGTTTTGTTTTGTTTTTGTTTTTTTGTTGTTCTTTTTTGTTGTTGTTTTGTTTTGTAATTGAGACAGGGTTTCTCTGTAGCTTTGGAGGCTGTCCTAGAACTAGCTCCTGTAGACCAGGCTGGTCTCGAACTCACAGAGATCCATCTGCCTCTGCTTGGGATTAAAGGCATGTGCCACCACTGCCCAGTGATAACTAGTTACGTTTGGGCTTTTTGTCTGTCTGTTTGTTTTGAGACAGGGTCTTACTACATGACCCCAGCTAGCTGGATATTCTCTGCGTAGACCAGGCTGACTGGGAACTCACAGAGATCCACCTGCATCTGCTACCAGAACCACATAGAACCTTGTTATTTGTTTTTCAGACAAGATTTCATGTAGCTCAGGCTAACCGCAAACACTCCAAGTAGCCAAAGTCGGCCTTGACCTCCCTGTCTTTAACTATCAAGTGCTGAAATTACAGGTGTGTGCCAGCATGCTGAGCTGGTCCTGGAGAGTAAAGCTAGGGCCTCCCGAGTACTCGCTCAGCAAGCACCATTCCAGTGAGCTTGACCCCCAAGTTTCTGTAACTTGTCTTGATATTTGCAGCCGCTAAGTGAGCAGCTAGAGTTCAGATCTGGAAGGAATAAACTCTGTTCCACTATATCCTCAAAGCAGATGCCAGCCTGATTTACATAGTGAGTTCCAGCACAGTCGGGAGTACAGAAAGACCCTGTCTTACAAAAACAACACCCACAACCGACTTACACACACACACACACACACACACACACACACACACACACACACACACACAAAGACAACAACAACAAAAAACCAACACATCTGAACAAACAACAAAAATTCAGGCTGTTGAGGTGGGTCAATGGGTAAAGTCACTTTCCCACCAAGCCTGGTGACCTGAGATACATCTCCAGGACTTTCACAGTGGAAGGTGAGAACCAACTCCACAAAGTTTATCCTCTGACCTCCATATAAATGCCCAATGCCACAAAAACAATAATTAAATTCTGAGCTTCTCTTTCTTTCTCTATAAAATTAGGCAGCTTAAAGATGTCAGCCCCTCAGGCTGGGGTTAGGGTTGAATGAGATGGTCTCTAGACAAACATCCAGCACCACACCTGACAGATAGTGACCCCTGACTAAATGAGAGCTCTTCTTTCTTTAATATTTAAAAATTTATCTTACAGTTTATTTATTTACTGGTTCTGTGTTTGTGGGTATGCGTGTACGTGTCATGGTGGAGCATGCAGGGGTCAGAGGACAACCACAGTTCTCTGCTTCCACAGTGTGGTTCCCAGACATCAAACTCAGGTCATTGAGCCATCTCTCCAGCCTAGCAGATGTTATTAAAAATATTTATAGGTCTTTCTAGAATAGACATTTGGTTTTTTTGTTTTTTTTTTTTTTTTGAGACACGGGTTTTTCTGTGTAGCCCTAGCTGTCCTGGACCTCGCTTTGTAAACCAGGTTGGCCTCAAACTCACACGGATCAGCCTGCCTCTGCCTCCCGAGTTCTGGGACTTAATGCATGCAACACTGCCCGGCACATTTTGGCTTTTTGAGGTACAGTTTCCATATGTTGCCCAGGTTGGCCTCTGGGTCCTCCTTCAGTCTCTCCCATAGTGGGACTTGCCTAGCTAGACACTTGGCCTTTGAAGAATCCTAGCATGAGCTACACATTGGCCTGTAAATGAAAACGTGCAGGACAAAGGGTAAAGCTGTGATGGAAATGATGCAGATGCAGTGCTAAGGGGGTGACAGGGCAGTCACAAAAGTGCACAGAGAGGTCGAGGCCCTGGGAAGGAATACTCCAGGGAGGAGCTGCTAGGGTGAGGCTGGGGCAAGTCTATGCTAGGTGCTAAGCAAAGTGTTTTTTAAATTTTAAAGTTTCGTGTGCACTGGTGTTTTGCCTGCATGTATGTCTGTGTGAGGGTGTCAGAACTTGGAGTCAGAGACAGCTGCTAGCTGCTATGTGGATGCTGGGAATTGAACTCGAATTCTCTGGAAGAACAGTCAGTGCTCTTAACTGCTAAGCCATCTCTCTAGCTCCTAAACTGGAAGTTTTAAAGATTTTTCAAAGTTTTATGCAGGGTAACAACAGATTATATTGAGGGCTAATTTCAGTGTCATCCAGCAAGCCAAACTAAGAAACAGCAGCAGGCAGGCTGTACACTGGAATCATAGCAATAATAGTCAGGCATCGTGGTACATTCTTGAAATCCCTGTACTAGGGAGGCTGGAGTGGAAGGATCTTGAGTCAACCTGGGCTACGTAGTAAAATTTCATGTCAAGCAGGGCATTGGTGGTGGCACAGCACACGCCTTTACTCCCAGCACTTGGGCGGTAGAAGCATTCTTTCTCCCGTCTGAGCATTTTGTTTTCTTTGCATTAAGTACCCTTCCCCACTTTCCATTCAACACCCAACCATTCAACCTGTGGCACCTCATCTGTGGACCCCTGTTTGTGTTGTTTAGACTCACAGTAATCCTCCTGTCTCAGTTTCCCAAGTGTTGGTATTACAGTCATGAGTCACATTACCCAGTCCCTTGGGTCCCTCTGCAGACTGCTTAGTTGATTTCTTTGTATTATTGTTTTCCATCATAACATTTGGTGTTCCTTTTTTAAAAAATTATTTATTTATTATACAGTTTTTTTTATCTGTGTATATGCTTGTACCCCAGGAGAAGGCATCAGACCTCATTATAGATGGTTGTGAGCCACCATGTGGTTGCTGGGAATTGAACTCAGGACCTCTGGAAGAACATGTAGTGCTCTTAACCTCTGAGCCATCTATCTCTCCAGCCCCCCACTTGGTGTTCCCTTGTCATTAATTGTTTCCTGGTTCCTCCCACTGGTCTGTGAATTCGGTGACTTAAGGCCCAGTCTGGATCACCATTGCACCTGCAAGGCAAATGTAATGTCTATGATTGTTACTGAGTAACAAGAACTTCTACTGGCCTCTGGGAAAACTGAAGAAAACAGCAGAAAAATACCAGCTTGTCAGGGAGCTTTGGGGGAGGCTAACATCCTGGGACCACACTATCTTTACTACTCCAGTCCCTTAGGTCCTGGGCGAAAGACTTCCACCACCAATCTGTCAGACACATCACTCAACTTGCAGACGAAGGCTCCGCCCCTTAGTCCTAGACTCCGCCTCCCCATCCTCGGCAGTCAGAGTTTGGACCTGGAGGCGACGCCCATGAAGAAGCCGCATGCGCACTGAGGGCCCCAAGGACTCTGTTTCCCTTCTCCCAATGGCGGGCGGCGGTCCCCTTCCCGGCAGCCTCCCTCGGGTAGAGAGCGCGTCATTTCCGGTGGGGAAGGCCCGCGGCCGCCGCCGCCATTTCGGGCGCTGCTGGGAGGCTGACACCGGAGCCGGTCCGCTGGGCGGCGGGCGCCAGGGCTGGAGGGGCGCGCGTGGCGGCGGCGGCCCAGCGTGAAGGCGCGGAGGCGGCCATGGCGGGCAACTTCGACTCGGAGGAGCGGAGTAGCTGGTACTGGGGCCGCTTGAGCCGGCAGGAGGCGGTGGCGCTATTGCAGGGCCAGCGGCACGGGGTGTTCCTGGTGCGGGACTCGAGCACCAGCCCCGGGGACTATGTGCTCAGCGTCTCGGAAAACTCGCGTGTCTCCCACTACATCATCAACAGCAGCGGCCCGCGCCCTCCAGTGCCCCCGTCGCCCGCTCAGCCTCCGCCGGGTGAGGGACAGACGACGGGCGGGAGGCCCCGGGCGGGGGTGAGGGCCGGGGAACTCTGGTCCGCTTCAGGAGGAGGGACGTGGGCAGACAGGGCAGGAGTGACCCTGGCGGGGGAGCTGCCTTCAGCCCAAGCCGGTTCCCACCGACAAGCGGGATTGTGGGGGAGGAGGAGCAGCTCACCGAGGCCTCTGGGTGTGCCTTGGGAGCCGGGGAAGGGGAACTGCTGCGGCCCCGGGGTGGGGCTGGGCGCCAGGGTCAGGCTCAAGGGCAGGGCAGGGCCAAGCAATTTGGGGACAAAGAGTTAGTGGGGATGTTGCGGGGACACCATCTGACCGAGGTGCCCAGAATGATCTGCTAATCCTACAAGTGGCTTTTAGGCTTGAAACGTTTCCTGCAGTGTTAGAGCCGGTTTTGGCCATACTCCCCTGGTGGCCTTCTGTAGGAAGTCACCATGTACTGGCTGGCTGGGAGGGATGGAGACACCCTCAGGAAGCCGGTCGGTTTTTTCCTTTCTTGGGCATTTTTCCAAAATCTTTTTACCGTGCTCTTCCCTTGTGGAATACGAAGGTAGTGAACTAAGTGACTTGGTAATAGAAACAAGCCTTCTATGACCAGTCCAGCGTAATTGAAGCCTAGCTGGCAAACTGTCCACGAGGTTTGAAGTGTTCAAAAGACTGCCTGCTGCAAGGAGAGTTTCTAGTTTCAAAGTGATTAGTAGGGGAAAGTTTTTTTTTTCCTTCAGAAAATAAGCCAGTGAGAGCAATTTTTGAAATGAATGTGGCGTCTTTCTCCTTGGGTTTAAACAGTGTCAGTCATGTACTTCTGGGTCTTTTTATGGCTCAGTAAGTTGATGTTGTGGTCAAAGTCTTCCAGGATACAAGAACAGACCTGCCTGGAAAGATAACGCCAAGAATTTTAGTTATCCCACGGGGTCTTGTCAAGGATGGATGAGTTGTAACGGCCTTGCCGGTTTTGTTGGAGTTGTCTGGCAATGTTAAGGAAATACACCCACTTAGTACTTGAGGTTTCTGAGATGCAGAGTGATTCTGAGATTACCTTTGTCAGTGTGTATTTGTAGTGCATCAGGCTTCTTGCTTTCTGGATGTTTGAAGTGAAAGCTCTTTCCTCCTAGATCTGAGCCAGTTTCGTGAATGAAGACTCCTTGGCTAACCTTAGCAGACCTGCCCTTTTTAGGATAGGACTAACTTAGGTTTACTCACTTTGGCCAGAAATGAGGTTCGATATAGATAGTTCTTTTTGTTAGCACACAAGTTAAGGGAAAAATTGAATACTGATGTCTTTTTAGTTTACACATTTAGGCTTAATATGTAAAATAAAATAGGAATATTAATGTAGCATATTTTCCCTAAACAAGATAAGTTCTGTTTTTGTGCCATCTGCAAGATATCTATTTTATGTTAAGTGCAGTACTAGGATGGCATGTTATCGTTGAAGTTCAGTTCCCAACCACATTTCATAGTTCATTCTTGTAATCCCAGCACCTAGGAGGCCGAAACAAGATGATTTTACAAGTTCCAGGCTATCCTGGAGAACTTAGTAAGACTCTGCCTTAAAATGAAAAGATAGGATAGGGGTGGGACTGGGAATATAGTCAGTGGTAGTTTATTTGCCTAGCAATAGGATAGCCCAGGTTTTATTTCCAATAGTGGGGTAGGAAATTTCAGTCCTCCCCTCCCTCTGTGTGTGTTTTGTTATAAAGCTTGGGAATAGCAGCAGGCAGGCTTGTTAGTTTGATATTTCTCTATACCTGGGCATTGTGGTTTTATATCTCAACAACTCCACCTTTTCAAAATAGATGGTTGGCCTAGGAGAGAAGATTGCCAGTTTGTGGTGAGGTGTGGAAAGTTGATTGGCATTGTGGCAGTTTGTTCTGTCATGTACCCCATTTTCTCTTTAGGGCAGTCAGTTCACTTGCTGTCTTTTACTTTATGAGGGTTATTTAATCTTTGGTTTTTTCCCCCATTAAGCTCTTTTTTTTTTTTTTTTGAAGCCACACAGGAATAACTTGAGTTTTAGACAGGCATATATAATATGAATAGCTGACACTTATTGACTGCTTATTGTATGCCAGATGCTTTGCTGAGGACTTTGTGTGCCTTACATAAGTTACTGTCAGTAACAATATAGTGAGGAAATATTGCAATTTCCATTTTTTTGGACAAAGAACTAGAAATCCAATAACTTGTAAGGTCACACATTTAGTATGTAACTAAACCAGAATTTCAGCTAGACAGTGTGACCTGAGAACTGACCTGGCCCCTTGTTATTCTTTGTTTATTTGCTTTGAGATCCCTGAAGTGCACATAGGAAACTCCATTCTTTGTTTCTTTTGTTTTGAGACAGAGTCTCACTGTGCAGCCCCATCTGGCCTGCAACCGTATATAAACCAGACTGACTTTGAAAAGTCCTCCTGCCTCTACCTCCCCGAGTTCTGGGATTAAAGGTGTTCACTAGTGCACCCAGCTCAAAATTTTAAATAAAATCAGAGCTAGAAGGATGGCTCACTAGGTAAAAGCACTCATCTTGCAAGCCTGAGGATCTGAGTTTGATCCTTGGGTCCCAGGGTAGAATAAGAGAACCAACTTGTGATGGTTGTCCTCTGACCTCCATAAGCCCTCATCAATGCATACATCATGCACTTGTGCACACATACACTGTAAGAGGCATGTGGGTAAGATGGGCCAGGGACTGGTGCCTTATCCCAATAACTGTTGGTTGGTTGGTTTGTTTGTTTGATCTGACATGGAACTTACCATGTAGACAATGCTAACTTCTAACTTAGGAAGCTCTTCCTGTTTCTACCTCACTGTTGTTGGGTTTATAGGCATGAGCCATTGGATCCAGCTTAACAACCCTACTTGAACTTTTACCGTAGATCTTTAGCTCCCACAGATGATCTCCTATATCCTGGGAACATCTTGACTCTGCCCCAGAGCCATAGGGGAAAGTTTGTTTAAGTTTACTGGTCATGTTCTGTAAGGTTAAGCTTCAAGGTGAGAGCTTGTTGGGAAGACTTGAAACAATTGATCCACTAGTTTTTCTGCTTGAAACAGTATAGACTGATAAGAGTCCTAAACTGAATGAAAAGCTGGGGGTGTACCTCAGTTGAAGGCCCCGATTTCAATATCTTGCATCACACAGATCAAACTTAGTGACACAGGCCTGTAATCTGAGCACTTGGGCGATGGAGGCAGAAAGCTCACAGTGCAAATCATCCCTGCCTATCTAGTGAATTGGAGGTCAAAAGCCAAACTTGAATAAAGTGTGCAATTTAAAAACAGAGTCTCGTGCTGGGCATGGGTGGCGCACGCCTTTAATCCCAGCACTCGGGAGGCAGAGGCAGGCGGATCTCTGTGAGTTCGAGGCCAGCCTGGTCTACAGAGCGAGTTCCAGGACAACCTCCAAAGCCACAGAGAAACCCTGTCTCGAAAAACCAAAGAAAAAAAAAAAACAGAGTCTCGTTATATAGATCAGTTTGGCCTCAAAACTCAACAGAGGGCCACTAGCCTCTGCCTGGGATTAAAGGTGTGGGCCACCACACTGGACATAAACATTCTTCTAGTGATAAGCTGAGGCTGGGTTTGAATTTATTTATCTGCCACTTCTTTTATTTGTTTAAATTTATTTTTATTTCATGTTCATTGGTGTTTTGCCTGCATGTATGTCTGTGAGGGTGTTGGATTCTCTGGAACTGGAGTTACAGACGATTGTGAGCTGCCACATGGGTTCTGGGAATTGAACCCCAGTCCTCTGCAAGAGCAGCCAGTGCTCTTAACCACTGAGTCATCTCTCCAGGCATGCCCCCCCCCCAACTTCTTGCTTTGGGTGGTTTTTTTTTTAATTTTTCATTGCTTCAGTTTCTTCATCTTTGAAAGTCAGAAAATAGCAATATCTCATAGGGTAGGCTATTGCAATGAGTAAATTGATTCAAATATATAAAATACTTGAATGTGGCAGACTTATTATTAAGTAAATACCCAGGTTATAAATATTAATCTTGTCTTTTTGTTTTTTTTTTTTTTTTTCGAGACAGAGTTTCTCTGTGTAACAGTCCTGGCTGTCCCTGTCCTGGAACTCCCTCTGTAGACCAGGCTGGCCTTAAACTCACTGAAATCCGCCTGCCTCTGTGTCCCAAGTGCTGGGATTAAAGGCACCACCACCACCACTGCCTGGCTATAAATATTAATCTTAAGAATATGACGATGTGAAGGGTGTGATGGCTTATGCCGTCCTGAGGAAAGGATGAAGCTGAATTTTCATATCGTTGAGAATCCATGGTATACTTTTTATACATTTTTTTTCTTTTGGGTGTATGTGCGTATGAGTGGTAAGGGGCACATAGAGGGATCAGAATAATTTGTGGGAGTCTGTTCTACCATGTGTGTTTGGGGGTCAAGTTAAGGTTGTCAGGCTTGGTGGCAAATACTTTTACCTACTGAGCTATCTTGCTGACCCCTCAGCCTTTTAGTATAATTTATTTTTTGTAAAATTTTACTGTTTTTGTGTGTGTGCATGATGTGTGTGGGGTGTATATGCTGAGGTATATGTGTGGGGATTAGCAGGAGTTGATTCTCTCCTTCCGTGGCTATATGGGCTCCAGGGATCAAACTCAGGTTGCCAGGAGAGCCCTACCAGTCCTGGAACTAGCTCTGTAGACCATGCTGACCTTGATCACAGAGATCTGCTTGCTTCTGCCTCCTGATCGCTGGGGTCAAAGGTGTGCGCCACCACCGCCAGGCTTTTTCCTTCTCCTCCTCTTTCTCCTCCTCCTCCTCCTTTTTATAAAGGCAGAGTTATTGTGTTAGCTTTTTGGAGAAGGGTTTCACTTTAGATTAGACTGGTCTCTCCATTTTGTCTCTCTCCCTCTGTGCCTGACACCAGCTGCTTTAGAAACTGTTAAATAGGTGTTTGACCCTGTTTAACAGAGAAACTGAGGCACAGAGAAGAAATTGGATAGTAATTGTAACAGCCAGTAAATG